CCCGTTATATAAATTAAACTAGCTCTTACTGAACAATCACCAGTCAGGAATACTGTGCCATCTCAGCAGGCTGAAACTATTTCTAATGTAAGTTTCAATAGAAAATGCAAGCCTGGCTAAAAACACTTACGACTTGTCATAAATGACTCTGAGGAGGTGCTTATAAATTCATCATTCATACTTCCAATGAGATTTATGAAGTCATGAGGGTTACAGCGAGCGTCAGTTACCGTGAGTAAACAACCCTTGTTTCGTCTCAATATTTTCTTTGAACTGGCTTTAATATGTAGCCCTTACCAACCAGCTGTCACATTCACAGACCTATGCTCAGCAAACGTGCACCGTGACCTTTGAAATATTAGGAATGAACTCAAGTTATCAAGGCTAGTGCACACCGAATGTTGCAACTTTCTTTATCTTTTTGCAGACTAAACTTTGTTCTGTTTGACCTGGAGAACTGATGAGGGTATGAATGATCATTAACAAATAGTTCCTTTCATGAGGCCTTGCAAAATTTAGAATTAAGAAAATCAGCGGCACATTTACACCAGTTCTCGTACCCTGGACTGGATGACAGACTCCATGGTTAAAAAATCTTACCATATGGGCAGGCAATGTAGGTAGGGGCCCAGGTTGGGGTCGATGAGCGAACGGGCCCTCGATAAGACCTTTCTGCAGCATGTGAAGCAAGAGGTTGGCATACAAGTTCCTGTTTTTCCTGAGTCAAAGAGATACAGTACAGACATTAGGGCTGAGTCAATTCGAATAATTCACTATTCGAATATTCGACCTTCGATTTAATCGAATAGCCGAATATTCGGCTGTACCGACCAGCAGACTGCTGATGAACAAACCATACACAAAATCTGTTGCAATAACACACACCATTATATATTATGATCGATATAATAGCTTCTCACATCTAGGAGTATCTCCAACCACGATTTAGCAAGATTTAAGAGATGAACAATACTTCTTGCCCCATTGAAAACTTCTATTCCTTTTATACTGTTTAATGAATAATTTACTTTTTGAAAGATAAGATTTCCGATGCTTTTAATTTGCATCTGCTTGAAACAAGCCTCCATAGTGCAATTTTTTTCATATAAAACTAAAAAGTTCCCTTCTTTTCCACGAATTTTGCATTCGAATATTCAAATTCAAAAAATATATTTGAATATTCGACAATCGATCAAATATTCGGTTACTCGGATATTGGGTGCAGCCCTAACAGACATCCCATTTTACAGAAAAATCATCGCTTGGTTGTTTGCTCTCACATTTGGGCTGAGTTTGGCCAGCTTGTTCTTGTATGTTCATGGACAGCTCGATTTGTTGTTCATGGATCAGCCGCTCGAATGCCAGATATATAAACCCGTTAACACTGGTAGTTAGTGGCAAGCAACATGCAACATGGCAGAGTGCATGTACCTTTTTTAGGGTTGTTTGGATAAACTTGACTGAATTTTAAATGATTTAAAAAAGAAAATTATTTTCTGTGTTATGGAAAATCATTAATGTTAATTTTGCCAAATTTTTATTGTCTCCGGCCTTGTAAGCCATCTCGCTATTTCTGGCAGCTGTTCAAAAAAACAAAATCTCACGAGTTTTCCATGTGTTCCTGTAAAAACCCTGACCAGGAGGAGGGGCGTGATCCTGTTCCGAGAACAATGTTCAGGGCCGTGTTCCCGCCGTTTGAGCTCAAGAACATGAAACGCATGTCAAGCACAGGCCACCCCAACTCGACCTTGGATATCCACCCTGAGTTAAAGTGCACCCTTACCAACAAAAGAAAGACAGAATGATACAAAGTTTTCCATCCAGGTTCTCGCACATGTAATTTGTCGTACGTACTCAGAGTACTCCGCGTCAAACACGCACAAACCTACGCGCCTATGTGGTGAGTAGGTACCAAAGGACAGTCAATATCATTTGAAAGCATGCCCTCCTTCGTTCCCGCTTGGAGCGGATAGTCAAATGTACATGTAAACATAAAAGTGTTGAGAGTGGTTATTATGTGAGTCTGCGAGGCACTGGAAATTGCCAAACTAGTTCAAAGCCAAACCTAGTTTGTTGACTTTCTTTGCTATGTCAGTTAATGTCGACCTCGACCATCTCCCCAAAATAAACCATATTAAGGCCGGTTCATACTTTCATGCGCGAAAGCGAACACAAATGCAAATTTGTGACGTCAGATCAAAAAGTCGCCCCGCGAATTCGCAAAAGTCGAACACATTTTCAACTCGAGTGAAATTTTGCTGCAAATCTTTCGTGACGTCGAGTCTGCCACACTTTCACATCCACCTGTAGCTCAGGAACCAGCCTTTACACATGTTACACATGCATTTGTTTGATCACATTTCAGTCCTTGGAACATGTTGAGGTGTGAGCCATAGTTCAACCATTAGTCCATTGCTTTTGTACAGTACATTCACATTTGAACAAACCTAGTTTAACTCTTTGGTAAAATATCGTCAGTCACATCTGTCACTGCAACTCTCGCAGCGTTCATGGTCAATGACATGATGGTCAATTATTTTCAAGTCAATGAAATCAGCCGCTGATAACCATCGGTGCCTCCATGCGTCAGCGCCTGCAGGGGCCAATTTCATAGAGCTGCTTAAGCACAAAAGTTGCTTAAGTGCGAAAAAAACCTTGCTTAATAAACAAAGGTTACCAGCTCAAACTCTATGTGATTGTCATGCTAACCAAAAGACAGGGAAATACCTTTCCAAATCAATATACATCACAAGAAGTTTTGGCTGGTAACCTGATTTGTCAAGCAAGTTTTTTTTCACGCTTAAACAAACGCTTGAGCAGTGCTATCAAATTCACCTCGGGTTCCAAATGGCCCAAACCATCCGTCATTTGAGGACACTGGTCAAACTACGGTTAATTATATCGCCCCTCAAAAATACCCGGTAAGAGCAGCACTCTTGCTGAGGTACATGTGCATGTACACCCCCAGTGATTCATTTATTTCGTGTACAAATATCACAAGGTTGTGCACATCAAGTTGAAAACTGGCCAGGCCTATTCCTTGCCAATCATGGAAGGAAGATACAAGCAAAAGGAGTCCTTTAGAGGCTCCCATACATCTCCACTACACGCGTATTACAATGACATCATGTAATATTCTTTGGAATTAAACCCCTGAATGTACATGTACAGTCCAGTAAGCCTATTCAAGCGTTATGTCCGCCAAGATCATCACCTTGCAGTAGGTCCAGAGCCGGGAGGTTCGCATAGCTTCTTGATCCAATTAGCACATCTCTGCCTCTCTGTAAAATAACACATACCATCGCACAAAAATCTTACCTTGGAATTTGAAAAGTCAAAGTTCAGAATCAATCACGTTTACATGATGTAAAGCCACCTCCGCACTGGCCTTCAAGACGGCTTTACCAAAACGATGCTACAATGAAAAACAGATGGTCAAATCTGACCACTGTTTGCACATATGGACTTTCGACACTAGAAAATTTTACCGAAATCATGTGAGAGGTAATTGAACTGTCCTTATAGTGACTCATGAGGGCGATTTGTGTGGCCTTTCTACATTCATCCCAATGTTGTGCTTTCGTTCCTTGGAAGGCGAGACACTAACGTCCTTCGTTATTATCTGGGAATGATGCATTTGTAGCATCAATCAAACTTGTATCAAAAATATCTGCCGTGATTGTGACCAAAAGAGGAATGACACACTGGAAACTTGCTACATAATGCGCGGCACCTCGGTGAAACATGCAAAGCACACGTGCTGGTGCTCCTGTGCAGATGACCTTGTGCTCAGGCTGGATGGATGCTTTCCAGAGCTGCTTTTATTGACTTGCACTGTCTGGACTGACTGACGAACAGTCCACACGTGCCTGGCCTTGCAATAGCATCTATATATCTTGGGGAGGAAAAACTTTAACTTCAAAGGTACCTGATTTTGGAGAGAGGCGCAAAACATGGGGCTTCATTTTCACAAGAGAACGGTCAAACTCATCATCCAACTCTTCACTGGTTGACAAAGAGGTTTCCATTTTTCCTGCTGACTATAAGTTAAGCAAACAATAAAGAGAATAAACCCATTACAGAAAAAAATAGGCTTATGAACATCATAAATTTTTTCGAAGCGGTAGGCCTGATCACTGATCAATGTTAGAAAGTGATGGCAAGTCCTGAAAAGAACATTTAGGCCTACATGGCCTAGGCCTATCACGATTTACACCACTGTTTCCAGACTTTACAGGGAAATGAATGAAATTTCCAACACAGTCTTCATAGCCTAGGAAATGTGCCCTGGGTTTAAGTTTGGATATCTTTCCTTTGCATGAGCGCTCCCTCCCTCCTCCTGAAATAGTGTAGGCCTACACGTATACAAGACTGGCCATAACCAATAACCCCCAGAACAATATCTCTCACTCTATCAAAAACCGATCTATCCAAATCGTACAACCAGCCAAATTCTCGGGTGTCACTTTTGATAGTAAATTAACGTGGACACAACATATTGACAATATCATCTAAAAATGCAAAAGGAAACTCAGCCGTCTCCGCTGTGTCAGCGGTAACATTTGGGGTGCTGACTGCAAAACCTTATTTCAGTTGTACTCTGCTCTAATCAAACCCATTCTCCAGCACGGATGCGAAGCTTTTAATTCTGCCTCTGCAACTATGAAACAAAAACTAGACGGCATTCAATATCAAGCCCTTCAAATCTGTACTGGGGCTCTTCAAGGCACCCCCCTATTCAAACTTCAACTTGAATGTGGTGACCCCATCTTGACCTTCGTCGTCGATTCCTGAGTGAACTATACGACATCAAAATAAACAACCATCCCAACCAACAAAAAGACCAAGATAACAAGTAGAAAAACTACTTCGGTGAGAAATGGAATCAAACCACCCATAGAATTCCATTTGAAGCCAGAATTCATAAATAACCTACTGTTACTTTCCCCTTACTTAAACCTTTCCCATATTGGCACTACTACATACCCTGCATTTCTACAGAAATTATCTCCCAAACATCTCACCTCAATTACCCTTATTACAGAGGCGACATCAGTGACGAAATAATCAACACACTTTGGAACAACTCGCTCCAAATTTACACCGATGGTTCACAAAATCCAAACAATAACACTGTCGGACGCAGTATTCACATTCCTCAACTAAACTACTCTAAGAGTATCAGATTAAAAAATGTTTTTTTTTCTTTTTACAGCTTGGTTATTCGCCATCCTCCTTGCTGTAAAATGGAGAGAGTGTGTCAAATCTCTTCATTCATGTATTTTTAGTGACTGTCTCAGTGCCACACAAGCAATCTCTAATCCCATATCTCACAATAAAATTGTCTCTGATATCCGACTCATGAATATCCAGCATCAAGGAAACTCTGTCTCTTTTGAATGGGTTCCTGGCCACAGTGGTATTCCCAGTAACGAAAAAGCTGACAGAAAAGTTGTTGGCATTAAACAATCACAAGTCGACTATCAAATTCTGCTCTGGACACTGAAATTAAACGATGTCTGAAAACTGACCTCGTAGAAGAGTGGAAAAAAGTCCTTTCCCGATTTCAATCCGTCTAAACACTTTATTACTAATCCCTCCTTCACCTTCACAAACTGGCAAAATGATGTCCACAAGAAATCCTTCTTCATAAACTTCGCCTACGCTTATGAAGAGGTCTGAAAACTTTACTCCACAACATTGGTAAATGCCCCGATAGCCTATGTGACGCTTGCAGCACTACGGATGACGTCGAACATCTCACCCAAACGTAAAACATTCACTTCTCAAAGAAAATCCCTACAAAGGACACTTGGTTTGACAGCCTCTGAAATGACCCTCAAACGTTTACTGGAACAAAACAATTCTGTTACCAAATTCTCCTATACATCCACAACTGCAATGCTAGCATCTTAACTCCTTTTGTCACTTGTTGATGGCTCCTGATTTTGGACAGATTGCACATGAGCAGGAGAGGGAAGTGTTGATGGTTGGCTGGACAGACACAGTGTTGCGTATCACCACCTCAAGGTGTCGCGGACCTGCGAAGAACCCGGCAGGGCCCGGGCCCTTAAATTGAAAGGTACATGGTCTGACCCTGCAGGGCACCAGCAACACTGCATGTCTGGAGGATCATTGGCACTTCCCCCACTTCTGCCTCCATGCTTTTTACCGATACCTATCATTACCATGTTACTGTCATGACTGTCTTTTCTAACGCTAGTCCTCTCGTCTTTTTCTTGCCTGGTTTTTGATTTGCTAGCTCTCATGCATCCTTGTTACCACTGTCTGAGTTTCAGTTGGTTCTCTAGAGTATTGTTATGCTTTCCCGTATTTGCTAATGGCATAAAGGGCACTAGACTGCCGTACATGCCATTCAGCCAGCAACAACCTCCTCTTGAAGGTCCGCCCCGCTCCCACGAACTGACGAACATCTTTGATCTGAACATGACGAACGTTCGTGGGAGCAGGGCTCACGTCAGTGGCCATGCGACCATCAAGTATCATTTATTAAGGGAGCCCAACAATTGAAGCGAGAATTGGGCTAGCCTGGGAAGTTTTAGAAGCCAGTTGGTGCACATAAGGAGTTAAATAAATGAAAGTGAAGTGATTTCAAGTTCAACCTTACCACGTTGATGTCTTCTCGAAGTAAACTTTTCAAAGCAGCCGGTCTCGGTTCATTGGTTCCTTGTGTTGATATGTGATGGATATTATAGTTCGACTGGTACCCGCCAGAGGATAACTGAACGTGCATCAAGCCGTGACCGAAAGTTATGGCTGCGGCTAGAAACAAGGAAGCCCTGGCTAGTGAGCAGTTGCACTAGCCGCAGCCAGTCGATTTGATCCGTAAGCCGTTAGCACCTGGATAGCGAAGGGGGGTTAAATCATGCAATTAATTTTCCTCAGACTCATTTTGTGGGCATCTTTAAACTCTTCTTTAATGTATGAAAGCTGCTTGAATTCGTTCTGGTGTTAATTAAAAAGTGCACTGTTATAAACAATCATAACAGTCAAAGCTTATCAGGACGAGTGAGGGCGCTGTTGCTGTGACATAGTTAGGAAGAGCGCAGCTTACTTGTTTATTGTTCCAATTTGGTCCCCAAATTCAATCTTTGGAAGAACTGAGAAAAAGGTGCTGGCTGGCTTATTGCCTTGTACTTAGTCTACGTAACGCGGCAATAAATTGTCAAAGTTATGGTAATTCGCAACAACACAATATAAAACGTTTAAGTAATATGCAACATGTGCAACATAGCAGTCATATTCGCCCCGCTGTGCTATGCGGATTAAAATTAGCATAAAACCAAAATGGTTCAAAAGCACAGATTAAAAAGCACCACAAATGTTGCAAATGAAATTAATTGAAAGAAAAGGGTGCAATTTCAAGGGCTGTGGTAAAATAATTGTACCACACGGCCCAGTAATATTATTGCGAATTTTATGTAGGAATATAAAAAAAACCTTTAGGTTAATCTCCACGAAAACGGCGCATTTTAAAACATTTTTCCTGGCAATCGTGAGGGCGCTGTTGCTGCAGTATAAGACTGACTAGACTCTGCATGTTCATTCTGGGAGCTAACTGCTCAAACCGTAAATCCAAACGTGAGAAAACTTTGGTCACAGGCCTAGTCTACTGCCATGTACTTACGGGCACTCTAGAAAAAACATGTACACACCCAGGTATCTCCTAAAATGTTCCATCGCAACTATTTTTTTTCCTCCATGCTCCACTGTTGCTGTGTTTAAAATCCTCACTTCTGGATAGATTTATTGGAACAACACTAGGTCGACGCTTTCACGCGCGCATGACGTGTGCGCATGACATGGGTGGCACATGTAGTTAGTTAACCGCAAGGCTTTTACGACGCCTCCTTGGCAAACTTCCATGGAAGGCACTCGCCCATCTCAGCAGCGACCCTGGGAATGGTGGGGGCGAACGAAGTTGCTGCCCGAGGGGTTCGTCTCCTGAGACAGACGCTCAGAAACCACAAGCCTCGATAGCCGACAAAGATCCATTGCAGTGTAAAGTCCATCATTATTCTTCCTTGAGGCTAATGTTGAAAAAACATAATTAGCGTAGCGTTCGCGGTTTTGAAAAAAAAAAAGAGGAGGCAGGGATTTATTATTGTTTTTCTAGATAGCCGCTTTTCCGTATTAAAGGTGTTTCCATTGTTAAAAGCACAAAAATTCAGTTCATCGAGCACAGACGTTATGATTGTCCACAACAATGAAACCATCCCCTGCTATGATGCGTACAACCGCTTCGCTAAGATACTAACAAACAAGGGTTCTTTTGAGTCGTTGACGGATCTATACGTGAGGCTCTGCAAATTTTCCGACTTTCTAGAATTCTAAGAAAGACTCTACTGCACGTATCCTCTTACAATTCCCCAGCACATAGCTGACAAGATTGATCAATTCGACTGAGTCATGTATTAGAACTGATCGTTCCAATGTCAGTTCTTGTTCATTCGACCTGAAATGGTATTAAAAGGCCAGGGTGCCACTGTCAAAACACCCATAACGGCATCCATTCTCGTTTGAACTTCCGCTGCTCAGTTCTTCGTTTATTAAACTACCTTCAACTAGTACCCCCAAAGCGATCTAACCATGAGATAGTTTATGCGAAATTGGAGACGGCGGACAAGAGGCCTTGGCATTTTCCGAGGCAGAAAAACAACTCTATTTTACTCCATGCAGAAAATGTTTGTGGAGAAATTGAGCAGAATGCAATTCTTCGTCCGCTGCCTCGTAGTCCTCATTGACCAAAGTGTGTGATTTATCTCAGTATAGCACTACAAGAGTTGTGTGAGTGCACGAAATTCTATTGTCTGTGAAGGAGCATTAGTCGTGTCCTTGGCTTTTCTCCCTATATATTGGGTATTAAAATCATAGAAATTTTTTAAGAAACACTTTTTAAAGTGTGGCTGAAATGATTATTTCTACACAACATTTCTGCATCTTTGTACTTTTCTTCAATGTATGAAAACTCTTATACACTCACATTTGGTTAAATGCAGTGAAAAGTGCACACTTATGAACATTCAAAATAATCTATGTGCTCCGGGACAATTGGGGACGCTGTTGCTTTGAAGTCATCTAGGGAAGACATGGTTCAGCGCCTAGGTATGTTCAACTTGTAAAACCAGAATTTGCTATTAACAGAAAGCATTTCTGAGAGAGACTTTGATGGCTTATTATTGCTATGCACATAAACAACCATGCAACAACAAAAACGAGAAAACTTAGTTCAAGAAAATCTACAAAAACGAATGACTTTTTGTGTGCAAAGCAATGTAACAGTGAGGCTTCTTCCTGAGATGACATCACAGTTTTTACTCATGAATATGGAAATACTCATTAGCATATAACCCCCAAAGTCATTAAAATACCCTTTGAATAGTGAAACCAAAGTTGATAATAAGGTTTACTGAGGCACAAAGATGCATTGCACAGGTTTGTAAACAAAAACATTGATTGCAGCTACCCTTTAATTGTGCTCGCTAACTTAATATGGTTCAGGGTTTGCAGACATTTTTGTTGATTTTGGACGAGATGTTTGAAAAGGGGCGTTGGAGCACACTCTGGAAACGTTTTACCCTGAAGTCACATTTCAACGAAATCAGATGGCACACAGACAAAGTCTAAAAGGGATCACAGAGTCTCCTTCGCCCAGCTGAGCGCCTACACACTGCCCCCACAAAGCCTTATCTTTAAAGGCCTATATATATTTCAATTCAATAGCAGCATCAGCCTCTATGGGGGCCTCCCACGTCTCGGCCACGATCAGGAAAGAGGAGGATGGCTCTACGCCCCACCAGCGGGAGATAATGAGCCCATGATCCCAAAACAGTGGGAACCGGCTTGGGGAAATTGCCTGGAGGGGGCGGAGGCTAGGCGAACCGCGTATAACATCGACACACGCCAGCGGGGACGTTGGTGTCATTGACACGGGGGAGCCCAGGATCCAAATGCTGGACAAAGAAGAGTGGATGGTAGCAAACAAGCCCCTAGATGGCGTAGGATAGGCAATTTGTTTTGCAAGTTCATTCTACCGAGGGCAGCTTGCCCACCGAAGACGTTTTGACATTTTATGGATTTCCACATGATCAGTGACTGCTTCTCCTTCTTTGTATAAACACGTTCACACCCACACACCCCTACGTATTTGATAATATCCAAAAGAACGACAGTATTACTTTGCGCAACCCCGCAATTGAAAGATTCCTTTCTGTTTGACACGGAAAGATTTGCATCCGAAGAAAACAAAAAAAACGTGCTTAACTTCCATGTGGACACCTTTACATTAAGGACAGAGAGAGATGACAAGCCTGACATCACACTTTGGATAGAAAAAAATGACAGCAACATTTTGGCCACATTAAGTCTCCATTAACCCTTTGTAAGGAGGGACGATATAATATAATTCTGAGGATTTTTTTTATGCAACAATCAGTGCTTTTTTATCATCAGCGTCACCATGATTGTCAGTATTGCGCCAATTTTTTTTCACCAATACAATTTCCGTTTTCAGTTGGAACAAGTCCCTCGCACCCACCAATGATAAACCTTCCACGCACTTTTTTTGCTTCACAAATAATTATGGAATACTGAATCCCAAGCAATATTTGAGAGAGTCCCCAAAGCGACCGCGAATGTTTCAAAACATCCACACAACTGCGCCACGCCAGCAGACGGCACCGGAACAAGTCCGACTGAACGGTGCTGGGCGTGGAAGGTTTGCCAGTAACGAGTCACAATGATAACGTGAACGTTTTATTAACAACCCCAACCCGCAAACCCATAGGCCTCGATGCACCATGATCAAATGACAAAGACCAAATTTAACAACCACCGTTTCAAACAATAAAAACAGGTCCATCAACCCCTTCCTGGTTGACTCTCCTAGCTAACATGACTACTCACCTTTACTACTCACCTTACTCCAACATACTCCGAATCTAGACGCCTTCGTTTCAGAATCCATGGCAACTGAAATTCATTTACGGAAGCCGAACTCGATCTTGTTTATACAACATAAACCAATACAATAAATGCTTCCAACATTAACCAAGGAAAGAAAAATTCAAATAAACAAGTCATGCCTTTGACAATTTTCAGCCATACATGTGTCCCTTGAAAGCGCAGAAACGTTACTAAGCTGAAGTAAACAAAGCTGGCTGAAGATTTTTATTTGTAATAGATACTATTACAATACGCAAAATTTAAATTAAATAAAACATTTGATAAAATCAATTTTGACAGCAACAAGACAGTACTGTACTCGTCACACCCGAAATATTCGGATCGTTAAGGTCCTTTCTATACCAAAGTCACAATGAACTCTACAGTGCTTAATATCAAACAACTGACACAGAAGTTCCCACAATTTTACGGTTTGGTCGGAGTACGTCATGTGCGTTCGTTTCTTCAAACGTAGAACCTCAAGGCAAGATATCCTGACTCAATTTGTCGAACAAAAATATAACCACACATGTTTCCTTAATCCTCTCACGCACAGTGACATGTGGAGTGTCGGGGTTAAGCCTACTACTTCCGTTAAACAAGATAAAAGATCAAAGAATAACTGCAGGGGAACAGGTAAGCCATTGAATAAAATAGAAGAAGTCACATCATTATGCCTTGGAGAAGGGGAGTTAGAGCGGATAGGTAAATATATACATGCAAAGTTGTACCATTAATAACCAAAATATCTGGCTGGTGATATTTAAACCCGACTCCGTTTTACATTACTGCAACGCTACGGCTATAAAAGCAAGTCACAAATAAAAATGGCGTCTGACGCTCGGACGACTTAACACACTGCCCGAATAGCTAATGAAAATTGCTTCAAACTTACATTAATCTTTATAAATAAACCGGAGACAAATCGTAGAGCTTCACTAATACTGGATTCTATAAATCAACACAAAAGCATGAGAAATGCAAAAGGCTGGATATTGAACCAGTATTTGCATTGATATAACCCGAAAATGAATTTATAAGAAACATGGAGATCAGATTTTTAAATATGTATAATTTATCGAAAAAGAAACTAAAAAAGATACCGCTGAAGCGTAAAAAGTATGTACAATACATTCTTTGTCAACTTTATTTCAATTACTTTGGTGTTGGTTGCGTTTGTGTGTGCTTTGTTTGTTTGTTCGCTTTGTTGGTTCCTCCACAATTGTGTACGCATTCCACAGTTTATTTTCCTCCGTTGAAACAACACGCGTAAATTTTGCAGCACAATGCATACAACTGTATATTGCGATTGACTGTGCCGTGATAGTGCTTTTTATTCGACTGCAAACAGCCGCTTCGCATTGATTGTATCATATCCATGTCTTTAAAACTTGCATTTATATTCACAGAGAGAATCGGTAATTTGATTTTTTTTTCAAGTAAAAAACATTGGCAATGATGACAAAGAAGCCCTGAAAACGTGAAAACACAGAAAATGTATCATGCAAATTCCTTACCAAACGGCCCCGAGATGGTTTATCGTTGCAAAATGCCTCGCTACGGAGGACGATGGTTCTGGTAAGGTTTTTAAATCTAACTATTATATTACTTAGACTAACATCATTAAAGTAAACCGCAAAACACATAAAACTGACTGGATTGTGGAGAAACGTGAACTCAAGGAATACAAATACACTAACAGCAAATTTGCAGTGGCGTAACTACATAGCGAGCACCACGGGGCAGGAGCCCCCCCCCCCCCCGAGGTCCCTGCCCCGGGCTCCCCTCTTTAAAAGTTTGAAATATACACCACCTATGTGTGCAAACCACATTTCTTCGGCTTTCAGCACCCCCCTGAAGTGTGCATCCCGGATAGCCCGTTACGAAATTCCGTCCTGATTACGCCACTGCAAATTTTGTCACACTGTGCTCTTGAGCTAGAGACTGGAATACGATGCGTGATACTAGTTGACAGGCTAAGACAACTATGAAATTACACAGTCACTTTTCGTGGGATCTTGGTTCTGCTTGACTTTTGGCCTTCCTGTGCGGCGCATGAGACTTCTGCTGCGCGACATCTCCTTGTCGCTCTCCTTGAACGACCCCCGGCCGTCCTTGCGGCGTTTGTAGCCGTACTCGCTCATGCGACGTTTCAGCACTGGACTGAGCTCTCGGGCGACGGGAATTTTGGCCATTTGGAGGAGCTTCTGGAAAATCTCCAGAATGCCCAGATTCTCCATCGCCGAGACCTCCAGGAAATTGCAGTTCCACGCCTCGCGGACGATCAAATCGTGCATCTCGATTTCTTCCACCTCGCGGAATTCGGCGCGATCTGTTTTGTTGCCGACGACGACAATGGGCAGATCATCGAAATTGGTTCGTTGCTCGCGGATCTGCTCGTAGATCTGCCGCACCACCTCCATGGAATTGCGGTCGTCCACGGAGTAGACCAGTAGAAAGGCGTGGGCTGTCGAGATTGATAAGCGCCGCATCGCTGGAAACTGAAGAGTTCCCGAGGTGTCCAGGATGTCCACTTTAATACAGTGCCCGTTCACATTGTACTCCCGGCAGTGCAGGTCCTCGACTGTCTCTTTGTATTTCTCGTCGAATTTGTTGCTAAGAAACTGCGAGATGATGGAGGTTTTCCCAACTTTCCCGGCCCCAAGAACGACCAGCCGATATCGTTCCCAGTCATCCATTGTACGGGTCGGGAGCTTCGACTTCTCTAGGTTATCACTAGTACTTTCTGACCAAGTGGCATGGGGGTATTCAATCAACAGAGACACTTTGCTGTAAAACTGCCAACAAAAATCAACAACGATGAGAAATACCCTGGCGTCATAAACTCCTACGCAGAAAACCGTGACATTATGATATACAACGAAGTAAAGCTGAGGCAGTTGGAATAAGGCATGATGCAACTCTATAAGGAACTCATGAGCTCTCTGCAAAGCGAATTTTGAAGTTCAGAGCTTATCCTGTAAAGTGTTTCTCTGTCGTCTTCTTTCGCTCAGCTTATGCCAGGCACCGAGGATTTTTGTTCAGGCACGGTTGTCCCTGCAATGACGAATCTGAAAAACACAACCAGAGATAAACATCTATTGATGACAAGACTGACGACCCGGGTACAATGTGGGATTCGTGCACGTGTTGACACTTTATCAGAGCTTAAAGGGCAGCTGCGATGAAATTTTCTGCAACTCTACTCTTCTTCAATGTATGAACACTCTTTTACACTTCCATTTTGGTAACTGCACTGAAAGGTGCACTTTTCTAAACGCTTAAAATTACCCATGCTTTCCTGGACAACTGAGGGCGCTGTTGCGGTGATGTAATCTATGAAGGAACACGAGCGTTTTCGAAACGAGTGGGATTCGGCTGAGACTTCGCTTTCGCCGGCTCCAGTCAGAGTTTGAACACATAATTTCGAACGCTGCTTCAAAATGGCTGGAACCAGCGAAACCAAACTCTAAACCGAATCCACTCTTTTCGAAAACGTTTATAGTTCATTGCATAGGTAATGCTATTAAAGTTGTGAACCCAAAATGTATTTACTGAAAACATTTCTGAGAAAACCCACCTATTGCTATGCACATAAAACAATGCATTAGCAAATAAGATATATTTAGCGCAGCAAAACGTACAAAAACAGTCTTTATGACTTTTGTGTACAAACTAATGTAACATTTAGGCTTTCTTCCTGGGATGGCATCACACTTTTGCTCATGAATATGGAAATGCTCATGAGCATGAAAACCAAAAACGCCGCAAAATACCCTTTGAAATGGTGAAACAAAATTTAAAAATCAGGTAAACTGAGACAAAAAGGTGCATTTTGAAGGTTTGTATTCCGACAAATGGATTGGAGCTAGTTTTTAATCAGTAGACACCAAACAGACACGAGTTTACGCGAGTTTTTTTCCACAAAAAATGCAAACATTTCAGAGATCGCCGAATACACAGCACTGCAAATGTGTGAAACGTCTAATGTATACACTAAACGGAATACAAATTGGAACAACTTTTCGCCCAAAAGCCGTTATCTGTCGCTAGACTAGGGCCGTGTTATCCAATGGACACAAAGGCAATGTGCCTTCGACTTACGAAGTTAATTAAGGGGCCCATACGAAAAAATGAAGGTCTAAATTGCTATACATAGGCCTAATACAGTATGGCATAAGACACGTACTTCGCAGACACGAGAAAAGCTCTTAATATGATTATTAGCTTTCTCTGAAATAATGTTGATTTTCGGAAAGCTTCGCACTTGTAGTAGCTACTACACAGCTTCGTTCAACCTGGCATCACCAGAAAATGGAAACCTCCGTCGCTTATGAGAAGCGCGAAATTGGCGATTGTAAGCTTGCCGAGAACAGAGTATAAAGGGCTCCGTAACCATAGGGCCTGGCTGATACACATTATCCGGCCCTGCACAAGACCATACCATTCTGGGCTACAGTCTGATGAACCTGTTTGCCACGTCGTTTCCACACCTGGATACCTGCCGGTCTTCCGGGGCAGGCAGCGGCCCCGAAATAGGCCACTCGACACCGCCACTGTCAAACCTGTTTTAGAGTTGAGACCTTAAACGGCGTTGTTGGTTACTTAATCTGAGGTCCTGGGGCGAAAGCAGCTGTATATCTTGAGCCGTCGGCGGTGTAACGATAAGCTGACAAGAGACAACTGCATGTTCCATTGTGTTAAATTTACCAGCACATCGTCAGATCAATTAATTAAATTATAAGTAGTATAACATTAGTCAAAAAATTACTCGTGTAAGATGAATTACTTTGTTATCATTGCAGGTTAATTCATTAATTTAGTGAATAACTATGTGCTTTTATTTTCCTTAAGGACTAAATAATATAAATCTCTCTGTGACAATTGCATGCTTTTATAATCACGCTCATAATTAATGATCATTTTCTGTTCATTCTTTGAACTTAGTGATTCATTATGCTAATTTATTTGAATCATAAATCAATACATTAGTTAGATTAAAATGCTCATTTTTTTGAATGGGACAATTATATTTATGCAGATGTATAATTTCAAAGTAATGTGTTCATTTTGGAAATATCTGTACTTTATATAGTTTGTTATTGGTAAATATTTCTGTGTCTATTTCAAAGTAATATTCAGTCTTATACTACGGGAATTTAAGAAGAATTTTATCAATCATTATTAACTACTGTACTTTCACAAAGCCCAGAGGAGCGACATTCAACCTTACGACACATCACACTGTAAAAAATTATGTTGTGCCACCATGGGTTTCCTGTAAAATGTATCAGAGAATCTTTGTAACAGACGCACTCCGTGACCGTAGAGTGAATTCTTAGAGTTACAACAGAACCCGTAACAAGCATTGTAAATGTACAATTTTCCTCTGTAACATGAATTAACATAAAGTTACATATTGGCGTTGGTAATTCAACCACTTTCATGAACTTGATTTCGCCATTTTTATCATGTTTCCTGTTATTGCGAGTAACAGGTGATGATTTTGAGGAGAAAGAATTTTATTTTAAGTTTTTAACCTTCCATCCTGCGACCTGTGGCTAAATTTGAAAGAAAAACCGATGCAAATGTAAGCAAGCCGCGTGTACATTAACACAGTAAATAAAAATAAAAAAAGTCAAGGTAATCACCGACGAAAAGGGTAGGTAGCCTCCCTCAACTTTGTAAGCAGCCTTCCTCAACCTCGTCTACGTTGCTTCCACAAGCATAAATTGTTTAAGTCGGAAAACAACGTCTTTGTAAATCCACAAATAAAAGTCTGCTCATGTACAAAATGAGCGTCTGTACATACATAAAAATGTTATTTGTAATAATAATTGAAATTAGCATTGACTGGTACTCAGTCAGTGATATTGTTCAGTGATACATAGTACTCAGTCAGTGATATTGCTCAGTGATACATGGTACTCAGTCAGTGATATTGCTAAGTGATACATGGTACTCAGTCAGTGATATTGCTAAGTGATACATGGTACTCAGTNTGATATTGCTCAGTGATACATGGTACTCAGTCAGTGATATTGCTCAGTGATACATGGTACTCAGTCAGTGGTATTGCTCAGTGATACATGAAACTCACTCTCCGGTTTCAAAGGAGTGAAATCACAAATCTGTTTTGGAATCAAAGTCCTCACAAAGGCTGAAGAAACGTGAATGATATTTTTGAAACTCTTTAAAATTTTCTCACTGACTCACTTGTAATTTATTTCAAAGAGCTGATCAAATAATCACAGGCCTATCTATGAGGGATTTGAGTTAAATGCAGTTTTACAAAAAAAGTGAGATAAAATATACGATGAAACGAGTTTCAAGTTGAAAATGATGACTTTTTGTCCCATCTGCGATTACTGAAAGTACAGTGCATCTCCGGAAAAAAGACGATTTTGAAAGTTAAATGAGGCACTTTTTCCTTTGCATTAAAGATAACGGCGTTGGCGAATATTTGTGCCGCCTTTTTATACCCTTGAAAAAGTTTGCATCAAGAATTATGAGGGCCAAAAATGTATTATGCGACGAAGAGCACGCTTAGATCCACCGAGACATTTCCGCTCAACAGCCCATCTCGTTCAACTTCAGGATGTGCTCGAGATGCAAATTGAGCAAGGAGAAGAGGACAGTCCCGAGGGGAGAACGCGACGCGTGCACTGCCGGTGTGACCCATACGCTATGGCATTCCTTCACTCGAGGTATAAAATACAATAACTTGTTGGAAGTTTGTAATGTAGTTCAGAACTCTTACTATTCTATAACCAGTAAAAGATAAAAAGCAGTTGTGCTACTGTAGGTATATCCGCCTTGAGCATAAGTACCCCCTCATCGGTTGAAAAGAGCCACGTGGGTCGGGAGTGTTCATTTTGTTGGTAGCAATGCGACCGTAACGCGTGAATTTCCTAGTCGTTCGTGAACCAGGGAAGTGCAGTTCCGACCAACGGAGCCTCCGTTGCTAAGAAACTTGCGCCCTCCCTCGGTCCACCTCGGGACTAATAAACCATGTCAGTGGAAACATGGTGGAAGAAGCTGTCTTCAGGATCGAAACTACGCGACATGACATTCCCATCGGCAGCAGATATCAGCTTTCTGTACCTCTCCAGCATTGGTATGTGAGGTGCATGTCCAAGCCCCATCATTGGGTGGGAATTTACTCCAAGACGGACTTCCATGTCAAGGGCTCCTTGCCTCAATGAAGCCGGACGGGTGGCCTAGTTAACAGTGTTCTGGTGAACTTAAACATTTAGTCGCGCACGCTGGTGTTACTATACGTGCCGTTCCGTTACCGACTCATTAAGATTCCAGCCAATCGTGAACCTGATGGATATTACACTGAATCTCATGAGGCGGGCCTACACGTGCGTTCACGCGCGAGGGACGCAGTTGCCTGCACTGCAAATTTCACGTCACTTTTTGATTCAAATTTCATCTTGGAAAGCAACTTCCGCGAGAGAAAGAATTGTTCAGACACAAACCAGTGCCAAATGTAATGAAAACGTCAATTTTCTTTGAAGAGATAACGTATGATTTCCTGGTTTTCATTTCAATGTTATTAGCGGCACTCAATGTCGACCGCTGTTTGCATGTTTATTATGGCCGATTGGCCAAACCAAGGCTCAACTTAAGTCATGAATTTGCGACTTACTTTTTCCCACAACCCAACACATCTTTTTTTGTATTTTCAACCTCATTCGTATGAAATGGCCCAGAGAACATTATCAACGGCAAACTCTCAACCAAAATACACAATTTCTTACATAATCTGATAACATTCTAGACGTCTTTAGAGGTTATGTTGATTGACTCAGAAGTCTTCTTAAAACAAGTCAAAAATTTCCAGTTTTCACGTACTTTAAACATCCTCTATAGATTCTGCTCCTTTGACAGAGGGTGGGCCGCGTATGTGCCTAGTCTACATGTACCTACCGCCCCTTTTGCACATTATGTGATTCCACGACCAAACGCCAGGGTCTGCTTTCGTAGCAACGTCCGGTCACGCACGGACGCTTGCTTCACCAGCCAGCGCTTCATCATCACAGGCAAAAGGAGGTTCGCTGGGCGC